AAATTTAACATGGTTCCACAACTCCAGTTACTTCTACAAAAGAAATTAAATTTTCACTATGTATAAAAAATCAATACAAAGAATCACTCTCTCATGAGTTCACCTAAACTCAAATTTAAAATTCTTTATACATATTCTTATATAAATCTAAAGAGCTCTTCTTCGGATCTAGTTAGATGCATTGAAGAGAAACCTTAGGAGAACTCAGAGTGTCTTTCATATTACAAAATATATTTCTGAAAAAAAATTTAATTCAACTATTCTAAATATTTTGATTTCTAATATAAATCCAAATCCTACTTCGATAAGGAGTTTGAACTTAATTAAGATTACTCATAAGTAGTCTAAACTTAGGATTTCCTAAATCTTAAGAGTGATAGTGAAATATATGTGTATTTGATTAAGAAAAACAACGAATAGAAAATAAAATTTAAAGTTTAAAAATAAATATGAAGCCACGTAATTATTATATTTGATCATTATAAACAGAAAATAAAAGGAATGTTTTATATGCAAATTTTTCTTATTTATTCTTGTCTTGGATATGACATAACTAACGCCTCTCTTCCTACAGATTTTGCATTTTACCTAAATATTGATGGCCCATAAGCCCGACATTGGTTGATGTTGCATTGGCCTTTTCTATATGAATCATAGGTTCTGTACATGTGGATCAATTAATTTAGGCCCATAACCATCGTACACGTTGAAATTTATGGATCTAATTATTCTAATGTGCTAACTTAGCCCATTGATATAGTTGTGATTTGAATGAACTGCGAATTTATATGTCTTAGGCCCGATATTAACTACCGTTTATTACAATTAGATCGTAATTACCGCCCTGCAAACAGCATGTAAGCCTTCGATTCTGCGATCCGATTCCCACCACCGACATCTCTCCACCTCTCATCTCGCTGCGTCTTTGCATCAGAGGTGACAACGGTCTCTGTTGAAACCCACGTTCAAAAGCTACCCCCAATCAGTGAGCAGGTAGCGTTGTCGGGTGAGCTTACAGTCTAAAGTTCTGCGAACTACTCGCCACCACCAGGCGTTCGCACCCTTCCATTTCGCTACGCTTCTGCATCAGAGATGACACTGGGCTTACAGTTGGACCCCACCTAAAAGCTACCTCCAATCATACAGCAGGTGGATTCAGGTTAAGCCCGGATGTGTTGGAGAAATTTGTGGCTCTTCCGTGTCCATCAATCACCCGTACGCGGAGATCGTACAACACCGGAACATTACAGCTGGCAACGACGATTAACGAGTTCCTGCTCCCTTTTAAACCATGCTTAGGTCACCTAATTAGCAAGTAATTAAATCCCGAAATAATAGCAACAAACTCTTTTTTTATCATAAATAAATAGATACTGTTGTGTCGCCGGCTTTATCGAGATCGGTACCGCTCGCTTCCCGTTCGCTCTCCGTCGGGACGGATTTGCGTGGAGATTTGGGCGAAATTTTTTTGACCTCCAGATCTTCGATCCGCCCATTCGTTTGCTGGAATCGCCGGCCGCCGATCGTGAGAACCGGTGCTTGGATCTCTCGTGTCGGTGAGATCTTCTAGGATTCCTATTTGGTGGTCGAAGGCTGGTGATTTGATTGTTTTCAATCGGAGTTGTGGGCGATTGGATATTTGCATCGATTTGGTGGGCTGTAGGGAATAGTGCTTTTTTGGTTGGATCCTTTGGTTAGAGGATTTGGTACCCGATGACTCGGATTCCTTGTAATGTAGGTTTTTGGGACCTGGAATAACGAATTCTGGGGTGTTTAGATTGGCGGATTAGATATTTCTGGTTGTATTTCGTCGCGGAGGTGAGTTGTAGGGGGATTACTGGCGATTTCCGGAAAGAGAAGGAGGATTTTCTTTTATAACTTCAGTGATTAGGAGAATTCTTTTCTGAGTTTATTATTCTGGGTCAATTTGGCTTGGATCTTCAACTATGGAGCACGTGGTGGCCGGAAAATTTAAGCTTGGCAAAAAGATTGGTAGTGGTTCTTTTGGAGAGCTTTATCTCGGTATGTTATTTTCTTGGATATGTGTGCATCATTTATAAATTCCTTTCATGCCTTGCCTTCTACTTATGCTCACCCCATATTTCTTGGTTTATTTGATTCAGGTGTCAACATACAAAGCGGAGAGGAAGTGGCGGTAAAGCTTGTATGTATCATTGCTTAGCTTGAATTCAAAACATTCAAAATTTTAAATCTAGACATATGTGGCTATTTTTTTTTTTAAACTTGAATTTGAATCGATGATAACACTAATTTTTTAATGTGAGAAGTTACAGAGGTTTCCACGTATGACTTCTACCCTAGGTTTACATTGGCAAGTTTACCAGTTGAAACCATGTTACAGTCTATTAAATTAAGGTGTGAAGGTGGCACAATGCCTGCAACAAACGTATACATTGTTGCATAATATTTGTAACTTTTACATCCTCCATGATATTAAGCCCATTGATCTTGGATGTTACGTATTAGGTCCCATCTCCGAAAATCTAATGAGTGAAATGGTTGCTTGTTCAGTAATCAATGGAGATCAGTTTAATGTGAATTTTGTTCCTTGGTGTGTAATATGTGTTTGCAGGTTTAGCTTTTAGGAGGTTTTTAAACTTGCACCGACCACTCTGTTTTGTTTCTGAAAGTACATTAAAATTTTCTAGTTTGCTTCAGTACTGTATTCATTTGTGATTCTGATGATCTTGATCATAGTCTTGTACTTTAGTTCTGTCTTTATAGCAATCTACTTTTGCTATTCTATTTAATAACACATGAGATCTGAAAATTTACCATTTATGCTTTAATATTGGCAGGAGTCTGTGAAGGCAAAGCATCCTCAACTTCATTACGAGTCAAAGTTGTATATTCATCTCCAAGGAGGAAGTAAGTTGTTAATCTATAATTATGATTCATCTTGTTTGATTGGACATTGCCATTGATGATTTTATTTTTGTGTTTTAATCAAGCTGGAATTCCCCATCTAAAGTGGTTTGGTGTGGAAGGAGAATACAATGTCATGGTCATTGATCTTCTTGGGCCTAGCCTTGAAGACTTGTTCAACTACTGTAACCGGAGGTTTTCACTGAAATCAGTGCTAATGCTTGCTGATCAATTAGTATGTGCACCACGTTGTTACCTGTCTGCTGTAGCTCTAACCTTTCTAACGTCTAATTTTTGATACTTTTCTTATGGGACTTTCTAGCAATGTCATAATACCTGTGTTTTTTATCTTTTTAAAGATTAACCGAGTTGAGTATATGCACTCAAAGGGGTTTCTGCACCGTGATATAAAGCCAGATAACTTTCTTATGGGCCTTGGTCGTAAAGCAAATCAGGTATGTTATTGAATTACTGGAAACTTCAGTTACTAATTGCCCTTCAGACTGATAGATTGATGGCTTAGTTCTAAGAATATGTGATGATAGTTCTTTTGGACTTCAAATCATACTATGATGATTTATTTTCTTGTTAGGTGTTGAATTTGTTCATGCAATATGGCAATGCAACTTGTGCTTACCTAAAAGTTATATTACACGCTTCTGAAGGTTAGGATAGAACATTTTTACCAAAGATATTGGCAATTGATTGACCAGTGGTTTCCTCACTATGCTCAGTATGGTGCATACAAAAATATGGAATGTCAGTTATACCATACAATCCAACTTCATATTAGGCAAGTTATGAAGATCGGGGAAAACAATCTCCAATTACTGTGCAGATTGTAGCTGTACCATCATCTTATATGGCATTTAACCATTCACTTGATTATTTATATCTAGTACTTCCCTAACCAGGTATACAGTCAGAACACACAGGTAAATATTTTCTTAACAACTCACTTGGAGTGAATAGTTCTTTAGTTTTAGGTATCTGAATGACGAAGCACTTATTTAGCATATATAATTTGTTTTATTTAAAAAATCTTTAGCATATTCCATTGATCTGTGTCCTAATTTGCTGCAACCTGGATGTTCCTGATGAGCACATTTATTACTAATCTTTGGTTGGTTGTTTTTTCATCGGAGTCCAGGGGCTGGGTCTGTGATGGTTGGCAAAATGATGATGATGGATTTGATGATGAACACAGATGCTCAGTAGCATCATCCTCCATAGGATTGTATCCCTTAGTGTATTGCTCAACAGCAATTCCTTTCTTCTCACCTTGTTCTAGTGATCCACTGTGAATCGGAGAGGTCCTATATCATTTCCAACCAACAGGCTTGATTCCCAGACATTTATTCTCTTGCATCTACTAATGGATAGAGAAAAAGGAACTGCGATATAGTGGAGATCATTATTCCAATAAGCATCCATAGTCGATGCTGTAGTTGGTTATGTTTGTTAGGTGCTATGCTTATATATAGCTTCGCTATAAGGCAGATTATGTTTATAGTATCTGATATTTCAGGCTATTGGTTGTTCCTAAAACTGATCACAGTCTGGCAAGGCTTTGGTCAACAACAACACAAAAGGTCTGAGTAGTGGGTATTTGGACTTTGGCATGGGGGCATTATCAGGGATCTTTTAATGCCAGTGTGGCAATAGTATAGAGGTGCAGGGATCTGTTTTAGTTTGTCTCAAGTTGAAATTACAGCAACCACATCAATCATTTATGTAGAGATTGAGAAACCAGATTATGAAATAATGGCTTTAGTCATGTACTCCCAGCATTTTATGCTGTGTTCTTTGTCTTCTTCATTCTGTTTTCTTGTTTGACATTTGTTATTTACTCTCAGGTTTATATCATTGACTATGGCCTTGCAAAGAAATATAGGGATCTTCAAACTCATAAGCACATACCGTACAGGTAATTATATCTTAGTCCTGACATGTTAATATAAAAGCTTTACCAGCCTGCAAAGAACTCATGCCTACTTATGGTAGTTTTTTAATTAACTGTTGCTGTAGTGAAAATAAGGCTAATTTCAGGATAGCATTTTAAATAAGAGAACCTTGAAAACTATTTTTTTTTCCCTTTCGTAATTGATCTTTTTGTTACCACTTACTCATGAAATGAAAAGGATTTTATATGATCTAAAATATGCATCTCTCTTATCATTCAGTTTTTAACCTCAAGATGCAAACCCATAAAGGAAAGATAAAAGGGAAAATTGGAAAGAGAGTAATTAAGATTAGTTTAAATTATTCTAAGTTTGTTACTGATCTTAAGTAAATACTGTGAACAAGAATGAAGTGCTGATGAGTCATGAATATGGGACTGCTGAATTATTTAAGTCAAGTGTAAGTGATGAATTTGGATCTGCATTTTGTATGGAATTTAATTTTGGAAGGAAACAATATACTGTAGGAGACAATAGAAGTTGGAAAGCATAACACAGAGAAAATTTTGGCTATTAATAATTAAATTGACAGAATATTTTAAAGGCAGAGTAGTTCTTCAAAGTTCAGACCTTTGACGTTTCTATCTTTCTATAACCAATTTGCTAAGGTGGTTAATTTGGTTCTCTCTATCTTGCCCTTGTTTTATTTCTTGTTTTCTTCTGCCAAATGTGTTCGATATCATTTACAACTTCTAAAATGGGATTCTTATGCATATTCAGGAGTTGAGTTTTTGAGTCCCTGCGTTCCATATCTTTATGGACACATGTAATGTTCTTTAGCAATTGGTTATTGCTTATTAATTATGTAAGATGTTATGATCTTTACAGGGAGAATAAGAACCTAACGGGAACAGCACGTTATGCAAGTGTTAATACACATCTTGGGGTTGGTGAGTTTCTTCCACCTAATTTCACATATCATACATCTTGTGCTAACTCATATTGACATTTTCATTTCTACATGCAGAGCAAAGCCGACGAGATGATTTAGAATCTCTTGGCTATGTTCTTATGTATTTTTTAAGAGGAAGGTTAGCATCAATTTGTTGTGCTGTCTGTTACTTTCATTTATAGAATTTGATGACACTTAACATAATATGTCTGATGGTCATTCTTTACCTCAGCCTTCCTTGGCAAGGGCTTAAAGCTGGCAATAAAAAGCAGAAGTATGATAGAATTAGTGAAAAGAAAATGCTTACTCCCGTAGAGGTAACTCGGAATCTTCTTTTTATCTGTTTGATGAAGAACTTGATTATCCAGCATCTTCTATATTTTATTCGCACAATAAGGAAGACGAATGAGAAAACTTTTGGACCATCTTTTTTTGTGAATCAGGCACTTTGCAAGTCATATCCATCAGAATTTGTATCATACTTCCATTACTGTCGATCATTGCGATTTGAGGACAAGCCAGATTATTCATACTTGAAGAGACTTTTCCGTGACCTATTTATTCGAGAAGGTAGATCCAATATTATATTTTCTGGCCTTTTTTACACATGTATATTTTTAGTTAAATTTTTACTAAGCATCTGGTTTAAGCTTTCAGCCACTTCAAGTCTTATCCACCTCTCAATGTGTTATTCACAGGGTATCAGTTTGACTATGTTTTTGACTGGACCATATTGAAGTATCCTCAAATTGTTGCTAATCCTCGAGTACGAGTATGCATTCAAGAACCCATAATGCTGTAATTCTCTTTCATCATTTTCACTGTCTCCATATTCCAATTTGTGTTCTCCTGCAGCAATCGAGTGATAGAATAAGTGGAGCTATTGGTCCGTCTTTTGGTAGGTCAGAAAGAACTTCAGGTCTGTTTCTTTTCTGAAGGTCAAATGTAAGCATAAACATAGTCTGCCCTGCTCAATTATTTATGGTCTTAATTGGTTGGGCCAGAGATTCGCGATAGATTCTCAGGTGCAGTTGAAGCATTTGCCAGGAGAAATGCATCAGGTTCTGGCCATCATGGTGACCATTCCAAGCACAAAAGTCCTGACAATGCACTTATATCATCCAACAAAACTGTAATTCTCTCTCCCTGTTTATTTCTGAGGGGAACCTTCAATGTTGCAAGAAAGTTGTAATAGCCATCTCCCTTGTAGTTCTACTGTAAGCTGACATGTCGGCTGCCATAACAGTGCTTTTTCTTGTAATTTTAGGTTGATTCAGATAACAGCCGTCCGACATCTCACCATGGGAGTACATCAAAGAGAGCTGTCTTGTCAAGCAGCAGGCAAGGCTCTACCGAACATAGTGAGCCTCGGCCTAGCAGAACAAGCAGAATATTATCCAGCAGCAGCCAGCCAGCCAGTGGTCAAAGAGTTAAGCAGCCTGTGGTAGATTCTAGGTCATCATCCATCTCCAGAGCTGCAGTTAGAGGAACCCATAGTGAATCCCTTCTTCGGAGTCTCGATCTCCTCTCTCTTGGTGCTGAGAAAAGGAAGTAAAGGAAAAAGCTAGAGATGCTGCTGGTCTTGGAGGGATAAAGTGTTGCTTAAACCCTCCTCAACTATCATTTCCTACGTTCATGATGCAGTGTCCATATTATCTTTTGTTTGATGGCCATAAGATGTAATATAAAGCCAAACCTTCCAATTGAGACATTCAATAATCATATCAAATCTCTGTGATACCTGCTTTGGGCAATAGACAGCCCCAGAGCAAGTCAGTTGTTTGTTGGTTCCTCGAGAAGATCACACATTCATTCATCTGAGACATTAGAAATCAACTTCAGTCTCTCTTTCATGTTGTGATCACACAATATTCCTGTCTCCTCTCTGTTACATTCTGTACTTGAAGGTTAAAGCAACGAGGGGCAACTGTTATATCACCCCTTTCTTCATCATTGAAGTTTTGTCTCAAAACAATCTGCATGTTGTCCTGCACTATACCAATGTGTCTGCAATAGATGTATGGCTTTTGTGTGTTGATCTACATGCATCAAGAGAACATGGCACTGGATTTATGTGAAGCTCATATCTTGTGGCTTCATCCTTGTCCTCGGCTTGGCTTAAGGGTAACCTTCACTCACCTTATGTACCCAGAGAAGTTGAAACTATAAGAGACTAGTGAAAATTATATGTTATATCCGAAAAAACAATATATCCATAATTTAATGTGTCCACTAATGTACCAGCTATCATTAGCTCAAAAGGTTCAAGGTCAAATAATACGTTTAATCTTTTCCACATTAGTATACAAATTTGGAGAGCCATGTATATGGTGTAGAGAGAGAGAGAGAGAGAGAGAGCCTTAGGCCAAAGTTCTCCACGTAACAAAAGATCTGAGAAAAAGAACCTCTTGTACAATCTTTTTCACAAGATAGTCCAACAATTGGCGTCCATTAAGAAACTAAAACTAATAGGAGCAAATAGGTGTGTCACGATGGGCATTGAATGAAGTGTGCAAGCAACCTCAAGCTCAGGATGCATTCTGTTTCTGGAGCATGCAGATTCCTGCACCGATAGTGCCACCTATCTGAACAAGGTCATACCATAAAAGCATCATCTTGCATACTATGAATTAAATGACAACAGAGGAGCTTTCGATTTGTTTACCAGACACGTTTCGTGACCTACTGGTTAGAAGACGCATGAGAGGCCAAACATAGAGCAAGTCTGGCACATCCATGAAGAGTTTACAGATCTAAAGACCAGGTAACGGAGCTACTGACCAACCAGCTAAAAAAAGGAAGTAGAACCTCGAGCACCTAATAGACATAATTGAGGCGACTCAAATCGAGGTAACACTCGGAAAGCCAAGCCGCAGTCGGCAAAGAATTGCAGAAAGAAATAAAAACTTGATGCAGGATGTAATTTACAGCCATAAAAGGAACAAGATCCACTTGAACCGCAACGAAGCTCTTGCTTTCTTCTGGTCAACAATTGAATTGAGCATTGGAATAAATATAGATTACGATACATACATTATCGAAGTGGATCCGTGGCGCAATGGTAGCGCGTCTGACTCCAGATCAGAAGGTTGCGTGTTCGATTCACGTCGGGTTCAACCCCCAAAAACTTTAGTTTTCAGTGAGACTATTTTTGTTTCTTGGCCGTCCGATGCCAATCAAACGATAAATATAACGCACTCCGATTAGCCACAAATTAAGTGTGGGTCCCACGTTTGCCTCGGATTTCTAAGGCAGGCGGCCAAGCGGATAGGAAACTTGGCTTCTCGGTGCCAACCACCTCTCGATTAGAATGATCTGAAGCCTGCAGACTTGTCTTGCATCCGCAGCAGCATACGGACCTACCTGTTAGAATCACACTGCTACTTAAATCTGTTTGCACGACTAAGATTATTACTGTTATCTGTTCATATCTTCTGAGAACTCTATTAGAATCTCCCACCTCCTCCTCCTCCTCCGCTTTCCGCACCTTATCTCCATCCAAAAGTTTTCTTTCATCCGCTGAAGAAGAATATTCAGCGCCGGTGATATTGTTTTCTAAGGTGATAGATTACATGAATGGTTGCCACATTTATCTTTGATCCCCTCCTTTCCTCGTCGTTGATGCCATTCTTTTAACATTGATCCCCTTAATTGCCTCCTCCTTCATCTTAGAGTGTCAACATCATCGTTGGATCTTTGGTTTTGTGGAGTTACGAACCAAAGACATACTACTGTTGATGTTGCTTATCTTCTTGGAGTTTTAGCTTTGGAACTTTGATCCGATCCGATCTGATCTGATCTGTGGTCATACGGCCAGTATCGGATCGGGTCTGGTAGGTGGTACAGACCCGACCCGATCTTATGTCCTCGACGCCTCCATACTCCCCACCCCCATCGGCGGCTGTTCTTCCTCGTGATGATTTATCTCCCAACTAAGGCTCCACTTTTGAGCCTTCATCCATCTATTTGCCTTTGCAGGAAGAAGAGAGAAGAGGAAGAATAAAGGCTGTGTCTTGCCTGTGATCCTTGGCCCCTGCTCCTTCAGCCCTTTGAATAGTTTCAGACATTTCTGGACGCTTAGTATGATCATTTTCTTGATAATTTCTTCGTATAGCCTTCGATCATTCAGGCTCTCGCTATGATCATCGGGTTCCCTGTAATTGTTTCTCCTTCAGCACGATGTTGTTGGTGATTTATTTTTTCCCCGCTTTGTTGGCGTCTGGGATTCTCTGTTTTTCTCACCTCTGTATTGGAGATTATTTTATGCGGTTTTTCAGTTTGTCGATTTTTTGGTTGGAATATAGGAATTGATGGCGACTCATTAACGGATTCAGAAAAAGACAGCATTTTTTAAGCAGGAGTAATCAATTTGGAAAATGGATTAGAAAGTCCAGGAGAGCAATCCGATGTGGAACCCTTGGCTACACGTCTCACAAGCTGTAATCAGATCAGATTCCTCGGAAGTTAAATGAGGATGTTTTAGATCGTCGGGCAAATGATCTTGTTCTTAATGAGACTGGCCGATTACAATAAAAGATTGCCTTTTTCTTTTCGATTCTTGTTCCTGTTAAGATAAGCTCTCTTCTCCTCTTTAGAGTCTTTTATCGAGAGATGTTTCTGTCATTTAGAATGTTAACGATTGACAAAAATAAGAAAAACCTTGAGATCTTGAAATCAAATCATTAGTTACATATGCTGTATTTTGTTAAAATCATGACTCTGAAAGTTTATTTTTTAATATATATTCGTATGTTTAGCATTTTTTATGAAATATGTGGTCCGATCGATCTTGATCCAAACAAAATATGAAATACATTTCAGATATTTGTTTTATTTGGGTTTTTAGTTGGCTTTTTGGTAGAATTGGACCAGTTGGTAGCGTGCGATTTGGTCACCAAAATGGTCGCTTTTCAAGCAACCGGCAATGACCTTCATTTTTGAGTCGGGTCTTATTGGAAGAGGGTAAGTGGGGTTCCTTCTCGTCTCCCCTTCTAATGGCATAGGCAGCACCCTTAGGGCTTTTCTTTCTGACGATTTACTGTAGGTTTTCGATTTATTTTTGGTTCTTGGCCTCTTTCTGTGCTGCTGCTACACTGATTATGGTCAAAATCTTGGAAAAGACAGCTTATTTGGAAATAAATCAGAAAAAGAATTTGGCTAAATCTTGGACTTGCATCCGATTTTGTCTTCTTTGTTCTTCCTTCTGAAATGAATCTTTGATTATCTCGGATTGTTAAAAAAATCTTTTATTTGTTTTCATTTCTTCTTGTTTTTATGCTTAGAATTGGGAGACGTGTGTTGACTGCCCATTTTTGGATACATCTGAGTTGTTCCGAACATCTTATTTTCAGGAAGATTTAACCTTGTACTGATGTATTCTCCTTGGTTTCGTTGGATCTTGGTTTGGTCCCATGCATGGCATTCTTGTTGTTGCCTTCTACCAGTGAGGTTGGTGGGATGCAGTCTTCCTGTCCATATTGGATCAAGTATTGGTAGATGGGAAGCAGAACCGATTTAATCCAATGTAATTCTCGGTTGAATGAGCTCTTCCGGTACTTATCAGATTGGGTCTAGGAAGTATGTGCAGACCTGATTTAATCCAATATCATCAGCACCTATGTATCTTGAGCGGCTGTTCTTCCAATTTTGTATATGAACTAATAGAAGATGAGGAAGAACAAAAACGAGATTGTGCTTATAATTCTCAGCCACGGTCCTGTTGAATTGTTTCAGACATACCACATGAAGTTGTTGCTACGGTCATAGTGGGCTACCTATTTTTCTGACCCTTTGGTCAAAGTATTTTTAGCTTCCGTTTCCTTTTTCAAACTAACTATTTTGGTTTAAGTATGGTGGTGCTTTTGCTTTGTTTATTCAGAAATTGATGGTCACTCATATATCAATTCAAATTGGAAATAGTTTTTCTTTGACCTAGACTAATGGATTCGAAAAGTGGAACGGAAACTCCTCAGGAATCTGGTGTGGAATCCTTCTTCAACTCAGCTCCACCTCTCAAAGATCGTGATCAAATTTCTCAGAAGTTAGAAGACTTCATCACTAAGATTTCTATATCATCAGGCAAATGATCATGTTCTTATCATATCTATCTTCGTTATGATAAAAAATTGCTTTTCCTTTGGTGTTCTTGTTTTCTTTTTGGTTCTTGAGTATGTGTTAAACTGGAATTTTCTAAATTTTGGGGTTTCTCTTTTTCTTTTGGTATCTTTCAGAAAGTGGGAAACCTATTAGGGTTGTTTGTGTGACTTCTGGGGGAACAACTGTTCCTTTGGAGCAGCGATGTGTCCGTTACATTGATAATTTCAGTTCGGGTAACAGGGGAGCTGCATCTACAGAGTATGGTTGACTTTTTCTGTCTAATTGTATATGTTTTCTGAGCTTTTCTAGGAAAGTTATGTATTTGAACAGTTATCATGTTGTAGGTACTTTGTGAAGGCTGGATATGCAGTTATCTTTGTCCATCGTCGGTAAATATTCTTCTTTTCCTTATTGTATTCTGGATGATCTTTTCAATATTTGTTGCTAAACACTAGTTGTCTATGATTTCAGGGGAAGCTGCCAACCATACTGCAGATATCTTCCACAGGATTCATTTCTTGATTTTTTTGATATAGCAGAGAACTCAACTATCAAAGGTTTGTGTATCTACTTCCCAACTATTGCGTAAGCTGGATAACTTGACTCTTTGGCTTGCATGTTGCTGCTGTCCTATGTGGCCATTGAGATTCATTCCTGTTAATTTTTGGAGTATGATAACAATGTGAACTGACTTGTGTATTGGGGCAACCCTATACCCGTAATTACAACTGAACTTTTCATGGTCCACAGAATTTTCAATAATTGCATGGAAGCTGAGAGTTGTGAAATTTAACTGGGACTTGGGAGTACAAGCATGGTTGTGGTATGATACTTGGGTATCATTTGGTTGTTGTCTGATACTGGGTTAACATAGTTTATTTGGAAAAGAAAAGAAGTTAGCAACTCTGCTTTTTTTCTTATTTTTTTTCTGGGCTGTTTGTCTCCACATCTTTGTGGGATACTCATTGATTAATTGAACATAATCCACTTTTATGCTTGATATAATATTGTTACTCTCTGTCCATATTTTTCTAAATTCTTCAAGATGCCCGTTCCATGTATAGATTCAATAGCACATATTTCTTACTAGATCTCATTATCAGTGTGTGAGCCACATGGTACGGTGGTCAAGGGAGCAATTAGGGACTATCGAAAGGTATAGAGCTGGTCTGATCTGTATACTATGTATCAAAAACTATAAGCAAATTTAGTATCTCATAATTATACTAATCTGTCACCAAAGTAAATAATAACCAATGCAGAGTTTATCTTTTGCAGGCAGTTGAAGAAGGCTTCTTGCTGAAACTTCCATTCACCACAATTTTTGAATATCTTCAGGTTGTTGAGATCTTCACAGTGCTATATGTTTTCTGCAAAAGAAAGTGTGTATTACAAGTCTGTGATGCCCAGAATTTAGAATTCTGTAGATATATATTCTCTCCTAGTTATACCAAGTAAAGATACGAGCTAAATGATTTTGCCAAATTGGTTTTAGATACGTATCTTCTGCTGATGTCTGATTGTGCTCTCTCTCTATATATTGTTAAGCCAATTATTGCACTAGATATTGTCAAAACTAGATATATTATTTGGTTGCAATAATATTGATTTTGTTCATTTATAAAATTCAGCTGTACTGTACCTCTCAACCAACTCTAGATGTCATTTTCTTTGTTACATTTTTTAATCTTGAACAAATAAATAACTTCAATGAATTATGCTGAAAATTTCTATGGTAGTTTGGAATTCAGGGAACATTTATATTTTAAACCTTATATTTTTCACATGATAAGTGAGAGGATCTTTTTTCCCTTGCATATTGTCAGAGCTGCTGTTCCCTTTTGCATGCAAATTAAAGAATAATCAGTAATTTGTACTCTGAATGTATACACACCAGTGTTTTATTTTAAGAATGAATTGTTGAATGCAATTCATCTTTGAGTGGCCTAACTCCACATACTTAAAGATCAACAAAGGTCATGGTGTTATTGGATGAAAATCAAAGTAATCTAGGTTTCAACAAATTGGTGGTCTTGGATGGAAGAGACAGTAGCAAGGCTGTCACTTTGATATGTATATCAAATATCCAGTCTATGTTGTTGCTTACATGGGTAAGAAAAAAGTTCCGGAGAACTAATTATCCAGCCATAGTCATCCTTTTATATTTCATGATTGTGTGCCGACTGATTCTGATATATTGTATCAGTTTAGTGTACATGTGTGAATAAATTTATTAATTTAGAAACATTATGGAATTTACGCATAATCTTTCTCCACAGTTGTTGAGTAGTCCTATTTGCATTTTATGAACAAATTACTAATGTCTTTTCTGTGAACAGATTTTACAGATGGTGGCTACATCAATGAGATGTCTTAAGTCACATGGGATGTTCTATCTTGCTGCTGCAGTATCGGACTTCTATGTTCCTTGGGAAAACATGGTAAGAATATAAAAATACTTGATCTGCTCCAAGCTGATCAACTAGTTTAGTTAGTTTCACTAGGAAATAATTTGGTTCATACTTTAGAAGTCACATCAAATATTTGTTAAAATAAGGTCATATTGATATCTTTTAAGTAATAGTTCTGAATGTGACATCATAACCTACTCATGACGTCTTATGCAATTACCTCCAGGAAGACACATCTTGAATCAATCTTTGTGTGTATGCTTATATTTTTGTTATTATTATTCAACAGGCAAAACATAAGATCCAATCTGCAGAAGGTCCTCTGGATATGCGACTCAACCAGGTGCCTAAAATGCTTTTGGTGCTGCGAAAAGACTGGGCTCCTGCAGCATTTTGCATTTCATTCAAGGTTAGTCCATTTATTCATGCTACAACACAGAAACAACTCTGGCAACTTGAGTCCGACTTCTGTGAGTCCAATCTAGAATTTTCTTTGAGGTTAATAGAAGTAGAACATGCTTAAAAGAGACATCTGTTGTCTGCATGCTATACTGGCTAATGAACTTCATTAATTGACTAAGGTGGTGATAGACCCACATTGTTTCCTCTCATGCATATATGATCTGTTTCTGTTGAACTTTATGTTCTCTGTGATTTCCATGTTACCATAATTACTTAATGGAAGCAAATTCAGTGTATTTTCAGTGTCATTTCCAATTTGTACAGATTATGTGATTGAATGAAAGCGGCTTTATAGAAATAACAATTAGAGAGGATTTACATTATAGCTGGCCCTATAATGATGTTATTAGTTACTTTGGTCTGGACCATGATTTAGATTTGATTATAAGATACATTGGTTCGATAAGTTGCACATCTTGTTTGATTTAGTGTACTCTTGTCATTTTTGTCACACAAGACTTACTTTTACCGGAAAACAGTTGGAGACAGATCCAGATATTCTGCTTCAGAAAGCTGACATGGCAATGCGGAAGTATGGCATGCACGTTGTTGTAGCAAATGAACTGGCGACTTACAAAAGGGAAGTCTCCGTCGTTACAAGTGGAGAAAAAACTAGAGTTTGTAGTCACGGACAGGATCATGACTTGGAGGAGGAACTCATCGATATCCTCGTGGCGAGGCATACTGAGCACATCAAGAAGTCCTCTCGAATAGATGTAAACGAAGCCCTGTAACATATCATTTAGTGATTACAAGGTGTCCATTGAGACCTTGTTAAGATCAATGCTCACAGATCAGCAAGACAGCTTTTTGAATGAGTGCCCTTTTTTATCTAACAAAGGCCCAATTTAATCCTCTTGATCATTCTGTGATTTGTAACTTGTGTGAGTGCTTTGTTGAAGAACATGTTGTGGAGCAGTATTTGCTAATGACAGGAAGAGTTCTCTTTTGACATGAGATTCCTTTCTCTTCAAGCCATATGTTAGATCTCCAAATTTGTAAACCTATGACAATCTACATTTTAATAAATAAGCAACTCCCTTGCCCTTTTCGTTTCTTTTCTTCTTTCCCTGAAGCATCGGTTTAGATTTCCAGTTTTCGTGCTAAACCCTATTACATCTCCAAGATTTTTGTTTGCAAGTCTCATCTAGATAAATGAACCAGAGAGGTATCACAAGTAACCAATGCAACTGCAAGACAAGAACCTAACATACAAATCCACTTTCCAGTTCTGCAGAGAAATAGTAGTGCAAAACTTGCAATAATTCTTGGTTGATTGTCTGCAAAGCTATATAAGACAACCTCATGCATAATATATAGACTTTACATCAGGCATTGCGGGTCATTGCCAAACTACATGACATGCAATTATCTGTCCATTTCTGGTGCTTCCTGGAAAGCAGCCTATGATTTTTCTGCATGGAATACATGACCCACATGTTGTCCTCATAAAGAACAGAGTTACAACAATAAGTGTATGACATACTCATAGACAAACTTCAGAGGCAGCTTCATTGTCCATAAAACATGGAGCTTCAATAGATATTTACATAACATCTACACTAGGGCACCTTTTCCAGTTTGAGTGCTGAATAAATTCCAGAAAGAAGTGCTCCAGGATGGTTGATGGTAACCAAATTGCAGATGTCAATTCCCTCGGCCAGCTGATTGGTGGCTGGTGCTGAAACATCAAGTTACCATGGTGCTTGATCTCAAGATTGCTAAGTTGGATCATGAGGACGAGCAGCCCATAAGGAACTAAGTGCACGAAGGCGTTGGAAATAGTCACCCAAGGCAAGCAAGCCTCGTGCTGCTTGGTGGGTTGTGAGGATGCTGTACATCTGCCTCAAGGCCTGTTGCCGAAGGAGGTCTGCCTGTTTCAATATATAGCAAGAATGATTTCATGTTCAGGTTGAATACCCAGAAGCAAATTTCAAAACAATATAGAGTTAGTTGTCATATATTCACTTATGATTGCTGGTGTAAAAGGATGAACATTTTAACAAAAGCACATAATACAATAAGAATAATAACAAGAGACCAACTTTTAAACATTAGAAGTATTACTTTGTGTGGCAAGTGCATGTTCATCACTATTGATGCTATTAAACCATCCTGCAGAGAGGAAGAGGGTGAAAGGTAAGAGGAAAAGTTTGTGACATGAACATCAGGTCATGCAAACTCAGTTGGAAAACTCATCCTAATACTAAAGGCAAAGGCAATGCAGATTCAGAACCACAGAATAGGATCAGATGCTATCTAGATGAAAATAAATGGATGAATAGTTAAGAAGATTATGAACCTTAAAAATTTATAGAGGATTAAGAAGATATCTATCAGAAACTAGGAAGAAAACAGAAAAGGCAAGCAGTGGACAGTGCTGCAATTTAAAGAGGCCCTTTGTGTTATCAAACACATAATCCTTTTTGTACATCTTATATTCTGAAAACATATGACATTTAGAAATTAAGATTTTGAAAATGCTATTTGATTATGACAATACCTATTGGTTTGTCATTCTCCAATTAATCATTAGGCATATTGTTTTGCGATCTCAAAGAAACAAGAGGAAAAGATAACATACGGCAGAAACTATGACATACATGTGCTCATATTCATACCTACCCAGTAATTGTTCTATTCAGCCAATAAAATCTGGTTTTATTCACATATTCATAAGTCCTACACTGATGCAAATTATGGAAGTAAGGTTTAAGGGAACACAAACTACCAAAAATAATGACATCAGCAAAACAAGAGACAATGGTATCCATTACAGATTAATTTTAAATTTTTATATTACCTGGTTCACAAAGCTTACAAGAGCCTCCAACTTTCCCATGGCATTTGCCATCTGTTCCATGTAATTTGTGACACCAGGTGTGCCTGAAGGGTCACATGTTAGTGTTTCAGAAAGAGTTTCCTGAAGTCTCTCCAATCCTTGCGAAAGAGCATCTTCAGCTTGTTGTGAAGATTGCCGCAGGCCTGACACAGCGCTCTTTTGTTGCTCTGTCATAGGGTCTAGTTGTGATGAGACTACCTGTGAACCAAGGATGGTAAAGTAACATTAGCAGTACTTTTTATCCATAGCTTACTCTAAGGCTCCCTAAGGACAGTGAAATGACTTTCTCAGTAACTTGAGGAAAATGAAAATGAAACCACAGATAAATAGCATGTGACATTAGCAAGAAACATAAGGTTTTTAGTTCAGCAACATGCCCCTGCATGATGACATGCTAACATGGAGTATGCCGACCCAGTCTACATCTCCATAGGCTTCCTATAGTCCAATGCTGCGTTAGCATGTCCGTGCATGCCAGCATGTCACATACTGGCAGCACAGTCAGAGTGCTTGCATTTGCTGAAATCTTTACTAGATTCTAAAATTCCAAAAAATAACATTTAATCACCTTTAGAAGCTCTGATGGCCTAAATCCGCCAATCCAGAGAAAAAACCTTTCTGTGGGCGTTCTCCACATGCCGGATATAAGATAGAAGACATCAGATTTTGCTGTGACTGCTTTTATTCGGAAAAGATTGTCATAGTGTCTTATTCCGCTCTCCACAAGCATTTCAAGCTCAACATCAGATGCATGTGCTTGTAGCGCAGTTCTTAAATCACTAGTTTGCCGATTCTGTTCTTCAACCCAGTGTCCATATTCCATTTCAAAAGCAGCAATCCCTGAAATACACAGCCAAGGAATGCCTTTAAGTACATGAGGAGCTGACATATTGATCTTGCAATCCGATAATAATCTGTGGAAAGAATTGAAAGAGCAAAACAGAAAAAGCCTACTTTATCATTCCAAATAGTGCTGCTACGAAAGAATCACAAATTTTATCATCTTTTACTGAGTCAATATTAAAAAAAGACACATGATATAAGATACTGCAAGTGAAACATAAAATTCCCTTGCAAAATATTGAATATTATAGTCTATATATTTAGAATGGATTTATCGACTTGAGGCACAAGTCCATGGAGGACTAGCAAATAATTCAAAGTTTGGAGAGTGAGGTTGAGGTATTTACGTAGTAAATGTGAGACCACATTGATGCTTCCAGACTTAAAAGATTCAAAATGAAAACTGAGAAAAAGAATACAAATTACCCGTCACCTGCACTAGTAGTAGAAAGCTGTACAAGTTTTAATTAGAGCTTATAATACAACCATATAATCGGAGTAGCTTTTATCAAACATCAAAAAGATCTAGTGAAACTTTAGAAGTACAGGTCCGACATTAACAAAATATTGCAGCTGAAAAATGATAGCCTTTCAAGATAGATGTAGCTGAGTCTTCTAACTCTTGATATTTTAACATTGAAGTCGTTAACATATAGTTCAGAATATATTAAGAAAAAGATACGAAAGAAATGAACACTATACCCGAATTAACACTTCCTGACAACCCAATATTCGTCTCTCGTAAATGCCCACCAATGTACACAGCCTGGAATTCATCAATAACTTCTTGCTTAGCTCATATAAACACAGAATTCCTTGTTCATCATGATTAGTGCCACTTATACCTGCTGTCTAGCCTGTTCAAGCTCCTGCTCTAGCTGGGCCAGTTTTAGACGACTTGACTCTAGTTGTTGAACATAAGCCTACAAAACAAGTATCAGATGATCAGCATATTAAGAATCAAATCAGTCACCTAATTGTACCTTTACCATTCTAAGATACCTTTTTCCGCAGACGACTTTTCTTAGCAGCCTCTCGATTCTGTGCAAGCCGTCTTAATACCTATGATAAGTCATCCGTACATCATCAAATTGGCAACACCATATGGACAAACCAATTACATTCGGAGTTCACAGCATTTGAGAAACATATCAAGAAAATACAATTCATTCTCTAACAATATATATTAAGAAAATGTAATTCATTCTCTGACAATATATAATAAGAAATTGTAATTCATTCTCTGACAATATACTGAATAAGTAGACTTGAACTTGGCTCATTGATATTATTGCAGATACATATAAGAACAAGAAACTCTTTTCTAACATTAGGATTGGTTTTGCAACTTGGGTTAATGGTTGATTAAAGAACAAGCAATGTTAAGCACGGACCAAGAAATTCGAAACCATAATTGGGACTAAGCCATCAACTGAACTGAACTGAAATTGATATAAACCAATAAATTTTAAATGAGCAGAACTGAAATAGTTATAACTAAAATTATTGTAAATACATATCCCTCGGAGCATCCAACCCCTGTTGTAATATCATAAACTAACACGAAAGAATTTTTAAAATTATCATAAACAGATGATACTCCACAAAGATAATTCGTTAGAGGTAAAATTTTCTTGACTGATTTAAACTAAACCGTCAGATAAATTCATTGTGATTTAAATGCCAAAGTACATCATTCCAGTGGTCCAGTACAGGATTAATCCACATAAATGAACAGGCAATATTTTGTTGACCATTTAAGAAAATAAACTAACAAGATTCAAATAATCTCAAAGTTTATGTACTATTTTTGTTGTCACCAAGAGATCCATCACTTCTGTAATCACAGAATTGTCTAATTAGTTAGTTTCAGACTAAGGTGGGACTAAATTCAAGCAGACATATCTTCTGATTACTACCTTGATCAAAAGTTTCTTGTTCTCCACAAGTTCACATGATTTCTTTCAATCTGTATTAAAAAAGTCCATAAACCTATATTGCTAAAAAAATACTCAAAGCACAAAAGATAGCAAGAATGTCAACAATTTTTGGAAAGAAAACCTTTACATGGAAAGCCCATCAATAATTCCACAAAAACCAACCAATGAAGGTATTCCAAAATATGAGAACATACTAATTGAAATCATAGTCAAAATAGGATTTGTTTTAGCTAGAGTGTCAAAGTATGCCGTATTGACTTCTTCGTTTTCAAGTAGATGCCAAGGTCAAAATTCTCCTTCCCCTACCAGAAGTTGAAGGAATCACCTATTATTTGTCTGAGTGAAAGAAGTGAGGGGTTTATCCCGAAATAAATAAAACAAGTCACGGTTGTTTTTCTCTCTTCTTCAAAGAAATTTAGAGTACCATGAACAAAAAAATTTCTTCAGCAAAGCAGGTGGTAAAAATGTCACAAGCATTTTACATACCTTGTCTGAAGAATGGCTTGTTTCCTGACCATACTTCTTTGGTTGTCCTAGTTCCTTGCGAGGAATATCCTCCAGCTACAAATTATTTCAAATTTAAAATATAACGTATATCCAAGTAACAGATCTGATGCGATTGATGACATAATGTTGCCAAACAACACATGCCACATACCTCTGCCATATAATCAAGTTTCGTGTCTGTTTCCACAATTGTTGATGCACATGTATTTTGACTGCTATCAGCTTTAAACGAGTCTTCCCACATGCCAATTTGGTGGTTCGGTTCATATATACCCATCCTTCTGGAGGTTGCAAATGAAGATGTAGAGCTTCTACTGTTTAGGCCAAAAGGAGAAAATTACTTCTATGAAAGACAAAAGGATAAGAAGTAAAAAAATTTACTGATTCAAAAAGAGAGTCCTTCAGACAATTGTAAGGTGCAATTGCTTTTAGTATATAATAGAGCCCGTAACAGTATATAGTAGGAGTTTCAAATGGACCTTGATTACCTGGCTACTTAAACAAACCTCAATGTATCAGTATCAAATTTTGGTCAAGGACTTTAAAAATAAGAAGCTTGGTTATGTAAGGATTAGATCAAAGTTTTTCCTAGATCTGGCTTAGCAACTAGCTGGATAGAAACCCCAAGACCAACTTAATATTTTAGGCAACCACATTCCACTATAGGTTATAGCCAAACTTAATCTGATAATCAAATGTTTCAGCCCATTTTGTTATGTCAAAATAGCAGAGTCACACTTCCTAGAGAATTCTGATAGAGCTCTTCACAACGGGTTTACTTGTACAAATGCTTGCAACCGCACCCAGTGATTTAAAAGTTACTGCTAGCTGATCAGGTGTGTACCTACTATCTAAAGTCCATAGAGAGTATGTATAACTTTTTAAATAAATTAATAAAAAATAAAGTCAAAATATCTTAAAAGACCTATAGCACTATATCTGACATCACATAAAGAAACTCTCTCAAATCTGCTTTTGATTTTACAAATTATTCCACTTCCAAACCCCAATAATTTTCTTCCCTTCCATGTACTATGGAATTGTCTCAAAATCATGGGATGCCTTCATAAGTTTATCAGACATGCCAGAAAAATGGGTTGTAAAAGATATTAGAGCTGAAGGGCATTTATTGTGCCCACAATATTAATCTCAAAAACACAAATAAGCAAACAAATTAACAGAATAGAACCCTACTAAACAACACAGGAAACTAATCTATTCTCTTTTGCTTCTTGAGGTTCATGATTAGAGCTGGTGGCCAGCTATGATGTCAAACTACTTCCCAACTACACAGTAAACTAATCTAAGCAAACTCAATCCATCTCATCTCCTGCTTAACTTTGGGAAAAGCTGACAAGCTATCAACCTGCTAGAACCTAGTAGTTCTCTGTGCTACCAACTTGCAAAACAGAAACAGATCCCTATCAAAATACTTCCAACTTTTTCTAAATATAACAGCGGTTTGTATAATTACCCCAAAAGATCTTTCTGTTTCATTTTTCTTCTCTATTTTGTAAACGCTCTTTCCTAAAAAAATGCAGGCAAATAAAGCAACATTTCCTATCCTTTGGAAGACCAACTTTTTCTACAATACTTCAAAGGTCACGAAACCACAACAAATGTTCCGAAAGCTTATGGACAATATTTGTGGCGTAATTTTGCGACGACTCTTTATCAATATTCAAAAAGCCATTTCGGGGGAAGCTAAGTTATCGTCGTTTCTTGAATTATGTGGGTCGTATTAAGCTGAAGTTCTAATTGTTTCCGAGACTCACGAAGACCAAAAGATCCCGCTCGAACTCAGAGCACACAAAATTCCAACCTTCAAGCAGAATCCAAAACCGGCAACTCGAAACAATAAAAAGAGAATATCCCACCGTTTTGCCGCAATCTTCACCGAATCAAGTAAAATCCATGTAAAAGAGGTACTAAAGAACAGTTTCCCCGTTCAAAGGAAGAACTCTTAGGTTCCCACAGCACGAAGCACGGTGACAAGTTCATCAGCCGAAGAATCTGAATAACCTCGGTGATAGAAGAGCAGCGCTCTAACCTGGACATCACTCGAAAAGCTGCCGCCGGGCCCCGCGAAACGCAAAACCTTAAGCCCAATACCGAGGTGGGAAACCCCCGCGGTCGCCATTTCCTCTCTCCCTCTCTCTCGCTGCTCCCTAATCCGAGAGAGAGGAGAGAGATGAAGGGAGCAGTGGAAGCAAACCACGAGACGCAAGTCCACCACCGTCCCCTTGTCGTCCACCGTTATTTTAATGGAACGTCGCGTGTGAGCGCAGAGAAATTCGCCGCGGGTGGACGCTACGTTATCCTGCTCCGTCGGCGCCGGTTAGCACCGTGCGCCGATGACGTCATCGGCCGCTGTTGTGCACTGTTGGTACACTTACCCCCCAAAAACTGCATTTTGATTGATAGATTCGGATGAACTTTGGTGGATTAACGAGTAATAGTTTTGAAGATATGAAGTTTATTGAAATCATCTGTAGCCCTTCACAACCCTATTGACCATTACTTATTTTTCCATCTGCCAATGACTATGGAGACTTGTTGAGTGAGCTTTTTTTTTTCTGAAAAATAAATAAATTATTAAATTAAATGGGTAAAGAATATATATATATATATATATATATATATATATATATATATATATATATATATATATATGTATATGTATAATTTATTTATGGTGAAACACATTGAGGTTTTATGGGGACAATCAAGATAAATTGTAATATTAATTCTTTTGTTCTACCATTAGTTATTCCAAAATTATGAACGACTCTTAAAGTGGTTTGCGATTGAAAGATTTTTATCATAATATTTGTGTAGATGTAATTGAGGTGGTTCATGATTTTCATGTATGTATTAGTTTTATTATCATATCAATATTAGTTTCTCTGGTAAAAATAATATTTTTCAAAATGGACTAAGAAATCAAGGGCAAGAGAAGGAACCTCTATATCTATACAAAATATATATTCTATGTTGATTATATATGATGGGAACTTAGCATGTTATAGGATGGGGGTAATGGTACTAACATGAATGTTAATAAATTAAAAAAAGATAAGCCTAAAGACATATTTTGGTTTATGTATAGCACATAAGATGTACAGGGATATATAATTCTACCTAAATTTTAGAGTATATAAAAATCTTGATTTTAGAAGGAAAAGAAAGAGAAAGGTTCTCAATGAAAAGGGAAATATACATAATAAACCAACCCCATTGATATTTATCCTAGAGAACCATGTGGGCATAACATGGCAACATAAAATCTAGAAATCTAGAATTTGGGCACATAAAGAAATTGCATGCCCTATTGACTCACTATTTTACTGATGATCACTTGCAATTATGCAAATAATATAATATGTAAACATTTATCTGTTTCTTGAATCTTTAAAATTCTGTATTTGTGCATAATTTATAACAAAAGGGAAAGTATTCATTTATCACTTTTACTAGCTATTATCAGTATAATTAAGAACAGGTGTACCCTATGTAGAAAGAAGTGTCTTCTGAGTTGGATTTGTTTCAATAGTTTGAAAACTCCTATCCATAATCAGAACACATTTACAGTGCATTCAGCAGTGTTATAATTCAAAGGAAAAGAAAGTGACAAATCAAAATGCTTACCTATGTTCAAGATGAGGTATGCTATTTTCCAGATAGCCAACATAAAGCTCCATCATATCCTGCTGCAGTTGATCCTTGCCAAAGTTCATGGTTTCCTCACATTCTTGTTGATATGGCTTGGAGTATCTCGATTAAGTTGCATGGCTTAGAAGTACTTCAGTGCTCTAGATAATGAGCAATAAAAAATATTAATTATATACACATGATGGTTGAAGATTAATTATGGCATACAGATGATTGGGTTTTAACATAAAGAGAATCATTCTGAAGTAGAGGAGAAATTTTATTGTATAAATATTTGCATTAGGAGTGAATTCATTTCTTTTGATGATACATGCATACTTTCATGGCGATTACATGCCAGTAGATTAAAGAAAATAAGGCACTTATGTTTCTAGCAATATCCTTAAGGGGTGAAAACTTCTGCAGTAACCAAACTTTTCTATCTCAAAATATGTAGATTTGTGCATAATTAAGCTTACACATACTACTCTTCTATTTCATTTGCAAAGATATCTCACTACTACACTCTTTGGACAAACTCCTGTTGCATTCTAAACTCGATTTGTTGTAGAAATCATCAGTCTACCGAAACTTTGACACGATCCAAAATATAATTGTAGTACCATATGTGTAAGGATTATAAGAACATCATAAAAGAACTTTGAAGAAGAAAAAAAGACCACAATAAAGGAAAAGAGAGTCATACCTCTCTGCCATGTTTAGGCAAGCTGCGTCTGATCTCAAGTGAGATGGAGAGAAGACAGTAGCAATCAAAGCTGGGAGTTGGGAAGGAGACGTTAAATGGAAAATGAAGAGAGAAGCTCCTCTATATGCACCTCCTACTAAGATACACATAGTGGATAACCCTTTATACTAAGTTGCCAGCCGTTTAAGCTTTATGCATCAAACATTAACAAAAGCCTAAAAGAGCATGATGCATCAAGCATACACTAAATGACCCTAAAAGTAGATGCAACTTGGCTGGTTAGGGGTTCAAATCGAACTACATAACCAAACACATGTTTTAACCTAGTTGAGATAAAAGGTTGATTGGTTTACCTTCTGAACTTAGAGCTAAGCACTTCACATTTACCAGTTCAGGTCTGGTGCTAGCTAACAAAATCCAAAAAAAAAAGATGTTTATTGAATTTATGGTATAGATCCAAGCTGAAATACTAAATTTCACTTAATCCTAAACTAAATAGATCTACTATCAAGTATCAACAACTCAATTGTGTTCTAAGTTACTCGGTTAGTGGTCCTATCAGGAATCAGATCTTGATAATTGGACTGATCTATCGAAGGTCAGATTATGATAATTGATATTATAATGAATCTATTTCTAGGATGTCAAACCGTTTGAGTAACACCTTGTTAATCCATCCATCATTGATATTGTCCCATTAACAGTTTACAATATTACTCTCTCGAAAGTAATACGGAGTTTTCTTCATAGAAAAAGAAGGAAAAAAGAACTATAAAATTGTGGGAACAATTCCTTTTGTGTAGGAAAAAGAAACTGTAGGGACATTGTTGTCATGTACCTTTAACAAAATGTTCTGCAATCTCTATGATTGTTTACACCAAATTTATTACTTCAGTTTATAGCAAAAGACTAGCTGCTCCCTAGATTTGATTTTCTATGCCATTTATCATGGAAAAGCACATTTGTAAGACCTGAACAATCAAGGTGAATTATCAGTTTAGTTGGCAGGTCTGCAGTGTGTTGTTATTGGAACATCTTGTACTAATAATGCAAGGAAATGTAGTTGACTTATTAATAATGAGGAAATAATTCTGTGAAGTTTAGGCTTAACATTTCTACAAACTGATGCCCTGGAACACATCACAGGATCCAACTTACTTTAATGCGTAGCAAGATCTCAAGCATTGATGAATTCATGGACCTGTTCAGAAGCTTTCCATATAGGTGACACTCCTATGAACTTAAGCTAGTGGGATGGCCAACTTCACACTGCTTTCTTCATTCTATCCTTAAAGGCCTTTTGTCTTGATCATCTTTGGCTTTTTTGGGTGGCGTTACCGCTGCCGTCTCTTCCAACTCTTGATCAATTGCGTAAGACATAAGTGTGGTTTGTTGTTCTTTCGAAACAAAAGCTCACAGCCTTAAATATGCTGCACAGGCTCACCTAAAGAAAGATAAGCCTGAAGCAACAGTTTCTTTGCCCACCATGCACTGGAAGCAAATCCTAGTGCGCCTATGTGGGGTATTGATTCAATTGAAAAGGCGGTCTCTGTCCCCACTGTCCCTTAATTTTGCGAAACCCAACAAAAATGGTGCTCTTTGATTGATCAAATGAGCTTTTTCTTGGCTCAGGATGTATTTTCCATGCTTTTGACACATATCTATCTGTCTTGTATCAGATTAGGTTTGTTTACTTACCAGGTGGGAAGGTTATGGACGCATGAGCTGAGGCAAAGTGCACAGCCACTTGGAAAAGCAAACTGGCCAGGTAAAGAGGTGTCCAAGGATAATATTAGAAATGGTGAATGACTAAGATTCTTGCATGGGTGGTGCTTGACTACTGCATTCTCCTTTTTGAGATGCTTTGGTGTAGATCTGCAAAATGGACAGTAATCTGAATAGCAGACTCTGAACATTGTTGACTGAGACAAAAGACACCAAAACCAGAGAGCCTAAAGAATCATCAGGTCTTGTTGCACCCAGGAGTTTGATACGCATGTCAAAGTTCAATAGAATCGTGGGCTAAACTATGCAATATTTTCTTTCACTAAAATACAGTCATCAGAAAATGAGGAAGAAAGCAACTCAACGTAATGCGTATGATAGGATTCAAATAATACTATATACACATGTACACCCATATTTGGATACGTAGATACACAGAGAGACAGTCACTGGTTCAAGCAACAGAAGCTCATTCTTTCTAATTTGATATGAGCATCACAAATAGAATATATGATAGAAAAGGCTTGAGCTGAGGTGATAATTAAGCTCGACTTCCTAAATCAGTTTAAACCTTTACATCTGCAAAAGCAAGGAAACAATCAAGCTGGCAAAGAGAGAATAAGCCTTTGCTTCTGCTGATCCTAACACTCATTTGGATCGTACTGTGGCTGACGGACTCCCCCTTTCTTTTCCTTTTTCTTTCTTTGTGAGGTCACCATATTGCATGAGTATTAGGTGCAATGGAGCAAACCATTCATCAGAAATGAGGCTTCCTAGCTAGTTTGTTGTGACTGTAGAGGAAAGAGACCAACATGAGCTAAGGGCTGATACAGTGGCCTCTCCTTTGCGGGTCAAGAAACACTTCCCCCCTGGTTTCATTTGCCTTCGTAGGCCATCGAATCCACTACTGATGGAGGTCCTTTCCCTTTAGAATTTTGGATGCGCATTAAAGCGCAACACAAAGTTGGAAGCTGTAAACAGTTCTCGCACTTTATATCAATTATTAAAAATAAAGTGAACGGAATCTAACGCATTATTTGGATTCAAAAGCTGATTCCTCTCTCTCTCTCTCTCTCTCTCTCTCTCTCTCTCTCTCGCTCTCTCGCAGATAAAAAATTAAAGCTTGTTCATCAAAGCTACAGAAGAACTCAACTGTTTTTCATGCTGAGAGGAACTGTTTTCAGGGATCAAAACCTATCAGTTCAAAATGTAAGAATCCTCATTAATATAATATATATATACATATAAACATGTATATATACATGTATATGTATACATATATACATGAATATATGTACAGATTTCCTTTTATATTATCTTGAGGTAAGCGTAAACATACTGCCTCACTGCATTTGGGCTGGTTCATGATGATGCTTGGTGCTTCTGCCACTGAAAAGTTGCAATCGACAGTCATCTGCAAATTGTTCTAATTTATTAGAATTTTGATCACGGGAAGGCATCTGATGTTAATCTTTTTGTGTTCCTCCAATGAAACAATGCCAGATTCCTTCTAACGTATGTATTTAGTCTTTTCAGGTGAATAAATTTGCAATTCAACCCGGTCTCAGATATATTATCGATGGAGGAAGAATTGGGCTTTGAAGGCTTGTGCTTCGTTTCACTTTATAATTCCATGAATGCATGAAATGCTGACTTTTTAATCCGATGTCGTATGAATCCATATACATCAAATTATCTAAAGTGATTTTGAGGCTAAAGTATTATGCTCTCAATGTAGCACCTGTATAAAAATTAAAATCGGGAGAGATTTTTTGACTTGGTCCCCCAACGTTGAAGTTAGTAATTCAAGATCCCTAAATATGGACTCGAGTAATTTGACAAAAGAGAGGGTCCTCTCTATTTCCCTATATAAGATTGTTTTTATTCCTTCAAGGAAAAGAAAATTTGTGATGTCATTTATAAAGGAAGAGAAAATAGTATAATATTATATTTCATGTGAGTAAGAAGAAAGTTTGTGATTGTCTTCCTTGTCATAAAGGATGTGAAGAAAGCTTATAATTATCTTTTTTTTTATTATAATGGATGAGAAGAAAGGTTATTTGTACTTTGAATCATAGGCAGATGGGTGGAGGATGACTTGGATCTTATATGTAACAAGCACATGTCAGTTAATAGTATATTTCCTATCATTTGTGCCTCCTGAAGACATGATATAGTGCACTTGTGAGAGGGGTTCAAAGTATATCATTTAGTTCATCCGACATGAAAGCGTTTGGGTTCTCATCTTGTGAGTAAGTTTTCCCAATTCAGGTGTTTCGGGCATGTTAAGCTTATTTTTCTGCCATAATAGGTTTATCTTGACGCAAGTTGGATTTTCTCGACTCACATGTCTCGAGTATATTTGGCCTTGTGGTTTCATCATAGTAGAGTTCTCTTTACGTGGGTCAAGTTTTCATAACTTATATGTTTCGGACGCATTTGGCTTTGTACCTCCAACATAGCGAATTTATCTTAGCACAGGTCAGGTTTTCCCGACTTACACATTTCAGGCACATTTGACCTTACACCTCCATCGTAATAGATTTATCTTAGCGTGGGTTGGGTTTTCCGGACTTAAATGTCTCTAGCGCATTTGGCCTTGCACCTCCGTCATAGCAAATTTATCTTGGTGTAGGTCGGATTTTTCCAACTTACACGTCTTGGGCACATTTAGCTTTGTGCCTCCATCATAGCAAATTTATCTTGATGTGAGTCAAGTTTTCCCAACTTATGCATCTTGGGCACATTTGGCCTTGCCATCGTAATGGATTTATCTTAGCTTGGGTTGAGTTTTTCCAACTTATGCATCTCAGGCATATTTGGCATTATGCATCTTAATGCATATCAGACTTTTTTGCCATAGTAGATTTCTCTTGGCGTGGGTTGGATTTTCCCAACTTACATATCTCGGGTGCGTTTGGTCTTTGCATCATCGTGAGGGTCAGGTTTTACCCACTCATGCATCTCGAGCATATTTGGTCTTGTGTCTCTGTCATAGCAAATCAGGTTTTCTTGACTCATGCGTCTCATGCGTATTTGGCCTTATGCCTATGTCATAGCTTATTTCTCTTTATGCAGGTCGAGTTTTCCTAACTTACGCGTCTCAAGCACATTTGGATTTGTACCTCTGCCATAGTAGATTTATCTTTGCACTAGTTGAGCTTTCCCAACTTATGCATCTCAAGCACATTTGGCCTTTGCCTTCGTCATAGTAGATTTTCTTAGTGCGAGTCGGGTTTTCCCGACTTATATGTCTCTGGTGCATTTGGCCTTGCATCTCCACCATAATAGTTTTGTCTTTGTGTGGGTCGAGTTTTTTCGACTTATGTATCTCGGGTGCATTTAGCCTTGCACCTCCATCGTAGCATATTTATCTTAGCGTGGGTCAAGTTTTCTCAACTTTTGCGACTC